CCATGCCAGAAATCCTGCTTAGAGCAAATACAGCTTGTCAGAAGTTTATGTGTTTATTTAAAACCACAAACTAACTGCAAAGCCCGTGTCTCCTCTCTTCCTCAAGTTAATTAAGAATTCAGTAAATGCCACAAAGCCAGAGCATTCCATCTTTTCGCCCCACAAAACCACTTGCTCATTTGCTTTGAGACAGAGCACAAACAGAGCAGTTTTGATCCCAGCTTCCTATGCTAAGCAACAGCATCTCAAAACACACACAGATGTGATGCATCAGGCATTAAGGCTGAAGCATCTGATTTCACCCACTACTAAATATTTCACCAACTACTGTCCTTGTTTTCAGGATTTGAACACAAACTCCTTACTGCTTTAACAAATATACTTGGATGTTATACTTTCTTATTTGCCTGGGCTGGTCTGTCAGGCAAAACAGGCTGCACAAGAAATTTAGAACAGTAATAGCAGAATAGATACACCTTACAGTAAGGTTTACTGTGGGTTGGAATACATCATGATCGCTTGAAACTTCCCCATTTTTATTCAGGCAAAAGCTGGCACGCACTTTGATAGTTAAAGTCAGAGAGGAAGGATGCTCAGTAGAGCCAGTGCAGAGACCTGGCACAGCCATGGACCTCACGGCAGGTATTTTGTCAAGCACAGCTGTATCACAGCGTGCAGCAACACAGAAATTAATTTCTAAGTAAAAGGGGAAGCTGCAAATGAATGCATTGCCTGCCACAGTCCTTATAAAAACATGGATTCTATTAACAGTGTAGGAAAAAAAAAAAAAAAAGGAAATTTTTCTGATTAAAAATAAAACCAAATAACTTTGCAAGCAAAACCAAGACTGATTTGGTAGAAGAAACTATATTCATCTCTGCCCCTACTTAAGGAAATCAAGGTAATATCCAAATTGTATATCCTTTTGCCAATATTTGATTATTTATTCCAATCTACTGGATATCAGCCTTTCCAAAATGAACACTGGAGCATTCTAGTACCTTTCCTTGATACAAAAATCATTTTTGTCTGTTAAAGGAGAAACCTCCTCCCATGCAGTTTAGTTAAAAAGGGTAAAGCATATCAAATGTGACTAATGCTTAATTAACACTGTGTTCAAACTGTACAGATTTTTTGAGGTTTCTTTTTTATTTAACAGTTTAACACAAAAGTACATGAAAGGAAAGGTGATGATCAATGGAGATGTGTCTTGCACTAAAAGCATTAAGCATTGGGTATTTTGGTGATCCTGTTCCTTCCCTAAGAGGACCTTCATGATTCTGCCAGAAACAAAGGAATACCTTTCCTCCCCAGAAAAAAAGGACTGCCACTACTCCTGGAGGATTCTGGAGAAAGCATGTCCCTGTCTTGAGCAGATACTCTATGAATGAAGATGCTCAGCCTTGAGGCCACCAAGTTTCCCAGTGCCTGTTCCACAGCAGTTGTATCCATAACAGAGGAGGAATCGAGAGCCCTCTGGGATACATGGCAACTGAGAGCAGCATGTTTCCCTCTGAGCAGTTCTCCTGGACTACTGCCCATTTCTTGTACAGGTCTGAGTGCCTGTGGAAGAGAGCAGGCTACTTTGAATTACAGCAGAAAATGGAGCAGCAGCCTCTTGCTCACACACAGCTCCAACCCCGCAGCAGGCAGGGAGCTAACGAGTGCACCCACAGGCAGTGCTGGACATATGGCTGCAATACCTGCATCTAGGACTGGGTGACAGAGGCCAGACTTGATCATCATCATGGGAAGGTATATTGTCTACATGGCCCAAAAGATTGTCTCCCACTCAACCAGCGTAGCGGGGGGTGGATTTAAAAAAAAAAAAAAAAAAAAAAAAAAAAAAAGAAGGAAAAATTTAGCAAAATGGTATACAACATTTCCCTTAGAAAGTTCGCTCAGAAGCAGCAGGAATGCAGAATGTGAGTCCAGTCCATCACACTCACATAAAGGATTTTGTCTCGCCCTCAATGAATTCTGCTGAGGTGAAGAGCTGACCAGCAAAACCTACCGGACAAGGTACAGCCCTGTTCTGTGTAACGAAGTTTGACACAGTACCTGCTTGCCCTGTTCTCTCCAGGTAAAAAGGTTCCTGGGATTGGTGTACAACTTGTTTTAAAGGTAAACAGCCTCTCAACATCAGGTTTTCTTTAAAAAAGTTCCTGTAAATTCTATGTCTTGAAGCTTAACTCACATAATAGGAAATGATGTATAATACAGTGTAATTAAAACTTTCCTATAGAGCAGCTCCACCGTTACACACCATTAGACCAACTGTGTCATATGGTAAAGCAGTCAGCGTGGGTTGCCAGTCTATGCATTACACATGGTCATTCCACATAAAAGTAATGAGCATGGCATTTTATGGGAACAGGCTTTGTTCATACACACTCCCTCACAAGTGCTGATCACATTCATGTTTAAGTTTCATATTTACTTGTTAAATTAAAAAAAAAAAAAAAAAAAAAGAAAAAAGCCACCAAAAACATTGAGTCACCATGCATTCCCTTGTGGCCTGATTTGTAATTGCTCCACTTGCTCTGAGATCTTTTCCATTTAGTTGAGTAATCCAATATTGTGCTCTAATTAATAATTCCCATTTTTGGCTCCAAAGAGTGAGCTACTCTGTCAACCTGGATAAGTACTAATTCAGTGGTTTCACAATCCCAGAGTGAAACATTAATGATGTAAGTGTAGAAAATGAGGCACTGTTATGGAGATAAACATTCAATTCATATCGTAAGTTGTTTTTAAAAAAAAACCAAAAAACTATAAAAATCAGCCTGTCTGCTTCATAAACTCCTAAATAGAATTATAGTACCTTTCCCATGACCTGACATAGAAGCTGAAGGGATTCTATGGAAAACACTACTTCTAGGTCTTGAGGAAAGGTAGCTCTGCATGTTCTTGCAACAGTTATTCCACTGTGGATCTCACAACATGAACTAGCTATCCTAGTGCAAGGGACAGCAGCCTACAGTGTATTAGACACTAGTCTTTCCCCCAGAAGGCTACAAATCTCGAACATGAAACTAAGCAAAACAAAGAGTAGCCTAACAGAAAATACAAACAAACACTATGAATGTAGATTTCCAAACTACTGGTGTTGTAAATGAGCTTTAGTCTGCTAAAACCAGGAAGCCTCCCTAGGATTCACATATTTCAGACTTAAAAATCAAAAGGGTATCACATTTAACAACAGTACACCAACACATAGTCCAATCTGCTTTACAGATTTAATGTGACCTTAAAACCTGTACTTTAGAAATCAATTTTAAAGAAAATTATGGTTTCAGCAGAAGTAACATTGTAAAGCCACTACCTGTTTACAACATCAGATTAGTTGATGATGCAATTATTGTAGACACAAGTGTCTTCAGGAATTCTAGAACGTTTTTCGCTTGATGCTCTATCTGGCAATCAGTGGCAAATTGCTGGAGAGGTTTTTACCCTGCTAACAGAGAAGGGTAGGTAGCCAGCACCATACTCAGTAAAGTTTTTCATCTGCCTGAGCTTTGCAGTATTATTAGGAACAGTGTTATTTCGACTGTGAAAAAAAGTGGGAACAAAAAAAAAAAAAAAGCAAACCATCAAAAAACTTCTATTGTACAGATTTCAATGGCTCATTCATCTGGCAAAAATCAGTTAAACTGGCTTGCTTTCCTTGAGTCCATGCAAAAATAAACAAAATCCCCCAACAAACAAACTAACATTCTTCCTTGACCTGGTTATCTTTTCAAGCCTACAATTTATGTAGTTCTTAGTCTCAGAGATCCCCAAGTCTCTTTCCTGAGTACAAGCTCAGGAATGAAGATTTTAGTGTGCAGTCTCTGAGGGCCAATTCCAATGCAATAGCAATAATAGAGTATATGGGAAGAGTCAATAAACATGAAAAACAAAACAAAGGTTTACATTTCCCTCAAATTACAAAGCTCAGCTCAATAAAGGTTCTTCTGTGTCCTGGGAACCTAGGCTTCAGTACAGCTACTGGATGTGCAATTATATTAAACCTTATTCTTTCAGGAGGCATCTCTCATCTGTAAGTCTCAAAGCTCTTTAGGAAGAAAATTAGTATCACAGTCTCCTTTTCACAGGTGAGATTGTCTTGCCAAAGATCAGGCACTGAACTTGTGGCAGACTGGCAGCTGATATTCAAGTTGTTTGACTTCCAAGTAATTTAGAACACAGTCCATCAGGCTCTACTGACTTGCATGAAACACCAGTTAGATACACTAAATGTGTAGGGAAGAGACTGGCAAATACCCATACAGGTTGGGGAGTTTGCCATAGATGGGCTGTACTGCTACTATGATAGATAAACATCTTATTTCCTCTGGCTCTATCCCTTCTTGCACAGAGAGTAAATGTATATGTATATATTAATAAAACATGAGAGCACATTAGACTGAAGAAAAGGTGCACACTGAGAGCATCATTTATTCATCTCTGAGTGTGTTTTAGCATCCTCTTGGCTGGTAAGTAGCAATAAAAACGTAACATATATGTCATTTTTCCATGGCAAGCAGGAAGATGTGTTGAGTAAAAGTAAAGTGAGGCAGGCTATAAAACAGAGGAACAAAGATTGTTTCAGGTAAATGTCTGGCGCTTCAATAAGGACATGCTGCTTTTGCCTCCACCTGCCAGTGCTGACATTTTTTCCAAAATTACTAAATATGGCCATCTTTAATAGTCTTTCCTGGGAGTTACACTAAAGCAAGTTTTCATGGGTTTAGCACTTAGTAAAATTAAATAAAAAAGAAAAAAAGTTGACTTGGATGTTTGCAAGTCTCATCAGATGAAATGATTGCTTGTCCAGCTCCCAGATACAACCCTGAGTATATGGTCAGCCCACAGGAAGAAATGTAAGGTAAACATCACACAAACTAAAAGATACAAAAATAAAAGTCTGCCCATCAGGATTGGCAGCTGCCCAGGAAACCTGCCCACATCACCCCAAGCCAATCACTCCATTTCTCACTAAAGGTGTGTTTCAATCAGCAAAGTGGTATTTCAGATTTATGTCTGGCTAGTGCTCCCACATTAGAGTCTGAGTGCTCCACAGCTATTCTGCTCTCTACACCTTCACTGAGCTCCAGCAATCAGTCAACAATTCTTGAGTTTCTAGCAGGGAAAAAAGGAACGGTATTTCATTTGACAGCGATAACAGAACAGTGACAAGCCACACAGTGTTTGGGTCTGAGCCCTATTCTAAGGATGCTACAGGCACCAGTACAGATGCAGCTGTCACTGTCTGCTCAAAGTAGTTTACGGTTTGAACTTGAATATCAGACAAACCATACAAAGCCTGAACTATCAACCTGTATTTTGCACATTCCTGACCTTCACCCATCTGCATATTCTGACAACATCAGAGAGGACTGCACACCTCCTATTTCAGTTGCTGTCCTCAATTAGCCAGCCAGCAGTGTTTGCATTAAAGGAATTTTACTTCCTATTCCAACCAGTAATATTTTTGTACATGTGCAGTCCTTTTTGTCCCATATAAGCCCAAGAAAAGAGCAGGATATAAAATGTGTTTCACAGGGCACATGATCAATTACAACTGAACTCTTAACATCTATTATGCTCAAAAATGGACTAACAGATCAGTTACAAGGGAAATATTCCTAGACCGGATTTAAAAGCTCCACAGTATTTGGGACACCAAAATGAGTAAATTTACACCTTACAGAAGTGTTAATCAGATATCATATACAGAATTCAAAGACTCTGTTGTGCATTTAAAGTATGTTATATTTTAGAGTCTTATACTATTAGACAGTTACAACCTACATGCTCCTTTACTAGACCAGAGCTAAGATCCAGGGTAGAAGTAAACAATGAAAGAAGCATAGAAGGAACATCCTGAATGTGAAGATCTGCAAAAGATACTGATATTATTCTATCTTGTTTCTGCAGAGATCATTCAAGCGGGGAACAACTGCAGATTTTCTAAACAAGGGTATTGAGCCTTCAGGCTTTAGCACTGCTGTGACAGAGAGAGCAATGTAATTTGTCCTCTCAGACCACATGCTAGTTTACAGCCAACCTATATACCAGCCATATCTAATTTAGCCAAGTTTTCATCTGGGAACCTGTAACCACAGATAGTTACTGATACAGGAATAACTTCTCCAAAGCAAATCACACCCAAAGGCATCTTGTGCTTGGGAATATAACACAGCATCTACTCTGACAGGTGTTTCTCCAAACAGCTTTCTCCTGCTATGACTCCAGAAGTTACGATTTATTACCCCATCTCTGATCTTGAACAAAAAATCATGCAGTTTGTAGCACTGGTCCTTCATGTGTGTCTGACCTGCAAGCACAGAAGCTTCCTCTTGTACAGCCAGCCTCTTCTGGTTCAACCAAGTCCCACTTTGCTCTAAAAGATTCAAAATTTAATCCTTATTGTTGTCTAGAGAGAACTGGTCTAAGCAAACAACCCAGTCCTTGCTTGAACTCTGAAGAAGCTGGACAACAGAGGATGTCTTACCTCCTTAAACTTCTTATACAACCATGCAGCAAGTGATACACAAATAAATAAAGGAGATCTGTAAGTAATATTCACAAAAGATAATACAGGCATTTTCCTAGTTTGCTACAACCATAATTCAGCTTCCTCTGTGCAGCTACACATCACTAGGGAGGCTGATTTACAGGTGGGAAAGCAGAACTTGCTGCTTCTACTTTTGCGAAAAAATATAATTGGACTAGTAAAGTTCATCAACAGTTAATTCCCTCAGTGTTTAAAACTAAACCAAAACATGCCTCTGTGTTCAGACTGTAGTATTTGTCTCACTCTGCTTCTCTCTGGAAGAGCTGTACCTTTGCACATTGCTGTATTTTTGTTTGAAAAACCTCAGAGGGTTAAACTAATTTAAGATGAATACATTTCTCAGTGCAGAAATTCTTGTACTTCTGCAGTCAGGGGAAATTCGATGGCAAAATAAAATAATTATGAATTTTTTGACCATGAGAAACAGGAGGATGTTAGCAAAAGATTAGCTTGAAGAAAATGAATCTGTGCCTTTATACTTGATTTGTCAGTTTAATTGAGTCAGGCTAGCAGAAAAAATAAGCTGTATACACCGTATCAGCAAAGCACAGGACATTTATAGCTAAAATGTTAGTTTACAAAGTAAGTAAGGATTTAAGGAAGCAGCACAGGAAAAAGGCTAAGAATAAAAGCCAACAGTGGTTTCCAGGTTACACTAATTCTACAAATGCCCTATCTTTATAGGCTAAGTTTTCTTCTTCCTCATTCCAGATGCTGATGAACAGGAGGAAAACACAAAGCACCACAGTTCCTCTTTAATGCATCACTTTTGAATACATTAAAGACAATTTCTTGAGAGAGCCACCTACATTGCATAGAGAAAGAATGTCAGGACTCTTGGTTGATGCAAGCACTATATCTCTTTTTGCAAGAGGTGCAGCTTTCAGCCCTACATGTATCATCATCAGCAGGCAGCACTTCTCTCTGCTGGCTCTTTGTTTGCTAACATCTTTTCCAGGGCTTTTATGGGGGAACTTTCCACTTTGCTCACCACCTCCCCTTCCCTCTTGACTTGCTTCCCCTTCACTTGTGCCTCTTATACCACCACCACACAGTTCATAGGGTGGGCCCCTTACATGTGGAGTGCCCAAGACTTGCCCACTACTGCTCTATCACCTAACTAGAGATTACATCTCTTTGAGAGAGTCGAGGGCACTGTACTCAGCAGTGTCTTCCTACACAGTGCCTCTGTCACAGCAAACAGCGATGGGCAAGCCTACTGACACATTTGAATGTCTCTTTAAATACCTGAACATGCTCCAAGCTCTATCCAAGCCACAGAACCACACTTATAACGAAGAGCATAATTAGCAGCACTGCTTAGAACGAAATTTCCTAGCAAATTTTGAATTAGTCAGTTAAATCTTATCTGCAGTTGTCCACTGCTGCTATGATAAATAAAGGTGCTGACAGCAAAACAACTGAGAAATTGAGAAATTAAAACCAATGATGCTCCAAACAAGCTGTAATATTTCTTCTTTTCCTTCCCTGCTCCTTCACTGGCTTAGCAATGGTACGATCCCTCTTTAAGCAGGAATACATTCCTCATGAATCCAGCTATAAAAACAAGCTTCTGTAACCAAAATAAGTATGTTCCAGAACTAAACATTCCATACTCACCCAAAGTGTTTGTTGCAAAGTTTTTTTCAAGTCCATCTTCAGTTAGCTCTCTGTTATTCACCATACATCCAGCATTGTTGATCTGTAAAACAACTCCTTTAAATAAAAATAATCTACACAAATATCTACAAGGAAAGCCACATGTACAAGCAGTCAATGTTAGTTTACAGGGTTTTGACACTGCAACACAAAGCTGCAACCTGTTTTAATAAGCCATGCTATTCCAAGTCACTCTATGGCTGATTAGAGGTTTCTCACAAAAGAAAGGATCTCCAGAGAAATGGCTCACCACAGACGCATTACACTAAGAGCCAGCAGTCCTCAGTGCCTTCCTCCAAGTCTTTAAACTCTTTTTTTCACAGAAAATAATATGTAAGTTTTTCTATATTTTGTAGAACAAATACTGGAACATAAATATTCATAAGGAAACTGTATAACATGCAGTGGAACGACCTGCAGGAATGCCCACCCTCAAATGAGCTCCAAATTTGGCAGGTTATCCAGGTCAGCAGGTTGCTGCATCCTGGTCAGCCCTGAGAAGAACAGAACTAACTAGCACAGGTGCTTCATAGTGACTTGGTGTCCTGGTTGTAGGACCCCAGCTTTTCTGTCTGCCTGGCAATCCTGCCCAGATGCCTCACCTGACTTACACATTGCCAAAAACAGCACTACACCACATGGTTGGGATGCACTGTAAGGCACATCCTCATGAACAGCCAGAAGCCTGCAAGCTGTGTGCAACCAGTATAGGCTCTGACACACTTCTTTCTCTGCCTTACCTTCCAGAATGAGCTCGAGCTTTTCTTTCCCACCTCAAAAAAAAAAAAAATTTGCCCCTATACATCTTCCTGCTCATCCACTGCCACTCCTCAAAAGCTATTTTCCCTTTCTTATCAAAAGTTCCTCATCTACTAAGCAAGAAAAGAACTGCTCCAGGTGCCTCAGCTTTAGAACAGCCCCCTGGGCAAATTTTCGCTGCTAAATAAAGGGAAAAAAGTGTACTGGGCCCCTCACCAATGATGTTTAACTGTTTGCTTTCTCCCTGGTTCTGTTTTAGACTAGTCTTCAGACTTTTCATAAAAGTTTAATCCTTAAGAAGGTCTAGTTTTAAGAGGAACAAAGTAACTAGTCATGGAAGTCAAACAGAAAGTGTGTGATAGGAGTCCCAAAAGATGCAGCTGAAAAAGTACTGCTTTTCTCTCTTCCTGTAGCATATCTTTGTGAACTGAGAACAAGCAAGAGCAAACAGACCATGGAGACACCTGAAAAAACATTTAGGAAAAATTAAGAGAGAACTGGAAGACAAAATGTGACATCTACATGACCTGCTGGACAAATTCATAGGCTATGCACTCCAAAGACAAGACACAAGGTTTAAGAATGTAAACTTACCAACACATTTAATTTATGTTCATTTCTGAATTTTTCAGCAAATTTCCATACTTCCTTGGGATTAGATATATCCACAATATGCAAGAAGATATTCTAAAAGAAAAGAAACTAAGTTACAAATAACACGGACAGTGAAGAGACCCTTTTCACAGCTTACGCTTGTCTAGGTGAAAAGGTATTTAAGCAGCATGAAAAAAATATTGCCTCCAGGACATAACTAAAAGAGTTTAACATGCACAGCTGGGAAATATAAATCTAGTCCTTGAAACATGCTTAGTCACTTGATTCAACTGCTTCTGAGACACAGCTTTTTAATGCCAAAGTTATTAAGAGAGAGCCTTACTTAGATAAGTATGTGACAGACAGTCAGGCACAGCAGAGAACTAGGAAAATACTGCAAAGCTTGCAAAACTTCAGTTTAAACAATTCATACAGCAGCTTCCTCTTTGGCTGAAAGGAACTTTCCAAAGAAATGTTCAAGGTCACAGCATTAGAGAATAATTTAACTTAGAAGGGACCTCTGGAGGCTGCTTGGCAAATGCGGAGATTCAACAGCCTGCCTGAGTCCCCTGTTCAAGTGCTTGATCACCCCCCTGGTAAAAGTTTTTTCCTACTATCTACTCAGAATTTTTTCCCCTGTTCTAATCTGTGTTGGCTGCCTCTGGTCCTTTCACTGCAGACCTCCAGGAGAAGCCTAGTACTGTCTTCCCTACACACTCCCATCACATGCCTGTATGTTCCAGACAGTTTTCCACCCACCTTGTCATCCACCAGTTCAAACTGCATCTCTCCAAAATGGCTACAAGGATAGCATGTAAAAAGCCTCGTCAAACCTAAGCAGAGCACTGCTTCCTTCTTGTCCATAGGCAGAGCTATCTCACCAAAGGCAGCAATCAGGACAGTCAGTCCAGGTTTGCCCTTGAAAAATTCACACTATGTTTTCTCAATCACCTTCCTGTCTTTCATGGCTCTCATGAGGATTTGCTCTGTAGTTTTCCTGGGGAGTAAGGTGAGGCTGACCAGCTTGTAGTCCCCCAAATCCTGCTTGCCTTTTTTGAAAATGAGTGGTTTGTCTTTTACCAGTTAAGAGAAAGCACTTCCCTAGGAAAAGCCCCTCAAAGCGAGATCAACCAGCTTTTCCACAGCCTTTTGCTACCAAACAGGTCCATAAAAAACAAAACAAAAATCCTCTCTCCTAAACCCAAATATTGTAATTCTACTTCTCATCCTTCTTGTCTATCTTGATCTTAAGTTCCACAATCTCATGACCACTTCCACCAAGGCAGCTGTTCAAGACTGCTACTAATAGCAAGTCCAGCAGAGATCACCTCTAGCTGGCTTGTCCAACACTCATATCAAAAAAATCATCCTTGATGTTCTCCAGAAATTTCCTGGGTTGTCTGCACCCTGATGTGCTGCCAGCAGGTGTAAGGGTGTTCAAGTGCTCCATGAATACCAGGACCTGTTACCATGGGGTTTCCTCAGACCTCTAAGAAGACTCCATCTATTTCATCAGGCAGTCTGTAGCAGACACCCAGCATGATGTCACCCCATTGGTATGACCTCTGTGCCTTACCCAAAAGCTCTTAACTGAGCCATTACCCATTTCAAAGCAAAGCTTCATGAATTCAAGCCACTACTTTGCAGAGAGCACTCCCCTTTCTTGACTTTCCATGTTGTGTTTCTAAAAGGGTGTTGTGGTTTAACCCCAGACAGCAGCCAAGTACAACACAGCCACTCCCATACCAGCAGGACTGGGAGAGAATCAGAAGGGTAAAAGCTAGAAAACTCATGGGTTGAGGTAAAGACAGTTAAATAGGGAAAGCAAAAGAAACACATGCAAACAAAGCAAAACAAGCCTATGGCCGTTCCACCCTGAGAATGCCCGATCACATCTATCTTGGAAGCTAAGCAGGGTTGGGCCTAGTTAGTACTTGGATGGGGGACTGCCTGGGAATACCAGGTGCTGTAGGCTTTTTAAAAGGAACTAATTTCCTGCTTCCCAAGGGCAGGCAGGTGTTCAGCCATGTCCAGGAGAGCAGGGCCACATCACATGTAATGGTTACTTGGGAAGACAAAATGCCATCACT